ACTGCTTCAGACTATAATTGTTCAGAATGTGTAGTTTTACTAGTTTACTAGCCAATAAAAAAAACTTAAATTGTTAAAAATGTGTTTAATTATTCAATATTGTATTTCAAATGAGGCCTATCTATATTTTAGTATTATTCATTTATTATTTTATGAACAAATCTAAATTAACATATAAGGTGTACTTAAGAAGGATACTTAGTGACTTGCGTTTCAGATGTTAAATGAAGTGAGTATAGAGTTAAGTATATGAACATTTAGATATTTTGTCTTTTTGTGTGCGCAGCATGTGTGGTGTTATACTGTTAATCTATCTCATGCTCATGTTTGTTCCATGTATGATTTATCTGTCTCTACTTTTAGCAACAAATCAGCCTTTCAAGTAACTAGTAAAGTAATGCATTACTTTTAATTGACGAGAATATCTGAGTTACTTTTTCAAATAAGTAAGGCAAGTTACTTTTTTTTCTCCAATGTATTGATTGACAGCTCTGCTGTCCCCATGCTGAGAGAAATCAGATGTTACTGTAGTTCTAAAATAAATATGAATATGCATTAATTCATCTCACTCACAAAAACACACAGATTCAGTATTCCTCAAAATGAATAAAAATAATGCAACACAGAATATGACACAAACCTGCAATAATTAAATGTTAAACAACACAAATATCCTTTATGTATTTAATCCCATTCTATTAAGCAATGTCTTTGCTTCTGAGCTTCGATGATCCAAGCACACTAATAAGCAGAAATTACTCTAGACAAACATTCGTGTCTTTGTTTATTGCTGAAGTGTGTTGAAATGTCTTCTTCTGCATTCTACTGTACGGACGTAACTTTACTCTCCCTTCAGCCTGAGGCTTATTCATTTCACTTTTGGTGTGAAAAGGCTTTTATATTTGCCAAAAATAGAACTTTTTTATTTTAAAAACAAACCAGCAAGCCCTGTCCAGATTTAAAAAGTAACTCAAAAGTAACGTAACGCATTACTTTCCATAAAAAGTAACTAAGTAACGTAATTAGTTACTTTTTTATGGAGTAACACAATATTGTAATGCATTACTTTTAAAAGTAACTTTCCCCAACACTGGTTATCAATTGGTGTCTATGGTGCTAAAAATGCGGCACTAGGTTTTGTGACACAGCCGCTGGTTTGTCTTTGACTTTGAGTGCCAAGTGCTTGAAAACACAAAAGCAGGCAGCTAAACAAAGCTTAACCAGCTGTTGGTAATTTCCTTCTTTCTGTGCCGCTACCTGCTGTGAAACGGCGCCGGTACCGTATCATTTCGCTGTCATCCGCGCGCCGTTTACCGAGCGCATAAGTGAAGGTTTGCGGAATAAAGCAGTATTGATGGGGGACGTCTCCGGATGCAGGTGTTTGTGCTGACAAACGAGAAAAAGCGCTTCACTAGCTACTAATTGAGCAGAAAACATGAGGGGGGAAAAGAAAGAGATGTGCATTATCTGTGGGCGAAGAGAGCGCATCCAACCAGAGCAATCTCACATCAAATACAACAATAGCACTCATGAGGCCTATCTTCCAATGACTTCATAAATCCCTTCATGCATTTACAACGGAAAACATGCTAATGCACACTCCTGTAATCTCATACACTCTAAAAAATGCTGGGTTGTTTCAACCCAACTTTGGGTCAAATATGGACTAACCCAACTGTTGGGTTACATTTTTACATTCAATTTTTAACCCAAAAGTTGGGTTAGTCCATATTTGACCCAAAGCATTATTAAAGGGACTTTCAACATTGCACTAGGCTATGTACACAGATATTAATATTATTATATACACTTAAAAATTATAATAGCATATCCACATTCAAGTTAAAAATGGCGCGCCCGATCTTGTGTTCCAAATAAAGCGGATATATTAAAGGGGTCATATGATGCGATTTCAATTGTTTCTTTCTCTTTGGAGTGTTACAAGCTCTTGGTGCATAAAGAAGATCTGTAAAGTTGCAAAGACTAAAGTCTCAAATCCAAAGAGATATTCTTTATAAAAGTTAAGAGTCAGCCACACCTACCTAAAACAGCTCGTTCTAACACACCCCCACATGTCTACCTCACTATGTGGGAAGATTTGCATAACGCCGCCCAAATGTTCACGCAAAGAAAGAAGGTGTAACTTTTATTCTCGCTGTAGTATTGTTGCCGCTGCCGCCATGTCGTGAAGGTGCCGTGTGCTTCGTTGTGAAAGTGAAACTACGTTGTTTGGTCTTGCAAAAGAGGACACGACTAGATTTAGATTTCTGGTTTTATGTTTACATGGCGCGATGCAACGCAATGTGTAAAAAGACAGTATAAGTCATTATAATCTGTAATTATGTACCCACTGGATGCAACGAATGCCTCGTTTGTAATGGGTTTTAATGTTTTTGTCTC